CCATCTTCTTTGTACATAATCATAAATCATCCTTAATTAAGATTCTGTGTTTTGTGCTGTCCTTAATTAAGATATAATCATTGTATATAACATAACCATTGTATATATCATAACCATTGCATATCATTATATATATATATATATATATATATATATATATATATATATTATAACCATTGTATATAATCATTGTATATATCATAACCATTGTATATAATCATTGTTTATAATATCTTCATCTTAAAAAGTCCTCTACGAGGACAAGTATTTTTATTGTTTTAAACAATTTTGTGTGGCTTTATCAAATAACATATCGACCATGTTATCTATAAATGTCATCACATCATCTGCCCATCCCGCTATTCTCGTATCATTTTCAATCGCGAATAGCCATAATGATCCATATTTCGGTAATGTATGATAACCCACCTTTTTTTAATGCAATCGCTTATTATTTTAGGTTTTTTTCGGTATATGCTGACGCTGCTTTGATCGAATTAAATCTTTTAAAAAATCTATTTGATAGATCGAATCCAACATGTCTGATTGAATAACAGAAGGACATTATTATAATATTTTATTTGTTTAATACAAAATTTTGACTAAAAAGTATATAGTAGTAGAGATAGTTGATGTATCCTATCTCAGAGACACCTCGGCACCAAAACGTATTTTTTGTCAGAAAATCTGTTAATCATTTTGAGCTAGTGACGAAAATATTAACATACAACGTTTTGGGGGTGCCTGGCTGTCTCTGAGAGAGGATCATCAACTATCTTCTACATACATACATACATACATACATACATACATACATACATACATACATACATACATACATACATACATACATGCATGCATGCATGCATGCATGCATGCATGCATGCATGCATGCATACATACATACATACATACATACATACATACATACATACATACATACATACATACATACATACATACATGCATGCATGCATGCATACATATATACAAAACATACCCACCTACCTACCCACCCACCCACCTACCTACCTACCTATCTACCTACCTAGCTACTTACATACATATATACATAGATACATACATACATACATACATACATACATACATACATACATACATACATACATACATACATACATACATACATACATACATAGTGCACTACATTGGAAGGGAGGTTACTCAAATAATTATAACGGTTGAATATTCTCGGTTATATTGAGTTGCCTATCGTGAATCGACGCACATCGTCACCTGAGTTTCATTGCTATCAAGCAGCCTGTTAGAGACTTGAATTTATATTCGGCAACAAGGGTAAAACAATTCATCACAAATCGTTATAAAAGGATGGATCCGGGACAAGCCACCAAGCCTGATTCCCTCATAAAAAGCCACAGAACTTAATCTCGTTGTGAAAAGATGAAATAATTAGCATCAATTTTTTCGTAGTTTAGAAGCAGACTGTGCTAAACGTAACATTGTGTGCATTTTTAAAGAAAAAATAGAAAGTTTTGATCTGAACTAGCTACACTTTGCATCAATGACAAGTATCGTTTCCATGCGTGAAAATCATTTTAAATACATTTTAGCAATTGTCTGCAGTGAACACCATTTCATATCTTATCATATATTATGTTAATGCAAACACGTAAACTATTCAAATACAAAATAAAACTTTACCGCCAATAATTGCTCTTTCGATTCTTATTTTGAATTTATTAACTAATACACATATTATCACAATAAACTTAACAAGGGAATTATAGCATTCTTATCCCGTGTTTTAACTAGGGTTACACTCAACAAACGTGCATTGAACTAAAGGACATTTACCTATAAACGCCATCAAAAAATCATCCCAAACACTACCTACCAACCTATCTTTCTACTTACCTACCAAAACACGTATCTACGTACATATATATATATATATATATATATATATATATATATATATATATATATATATATATATATATGCATGCAAGCATACCTACCTACCTACCTACCTACCTACGTACCTACCTACCTACATACATACATACATACATACATACATACATACATACATACATACATACATACATACATACATACATACATACATACATACATACATACATACATACATACATACATACATACACACACACACACACACACACACACATACATACATACATACATACATACATACATACATACATACATACATACATACATACATACATACATACATACATACATACATACATACATACATACATACATACATACTTGCATACATACATACATACATACAATGAAATGTTTGGCTGTGAAATCAGATGTTGCTGACTATGGTTTATAATACGTTTGATTACTGTGAAGCACAATAGGCTGTCATTCCCACTCACCACTTCTATTTCAGACTAATGATGCAGTTTATAAATACTTGGATTGTATAAAGCAGAAATTTATTACAAAATCAAATGGAATAAAAAGTGTCAAAAAATAGAATTATACTAATCAACATGTTCCTTTATGTACTGTATTATAAGGTAGACAAAGTAATGACAGTAACTTTGAATACTGTACAGGTAGAGTCACAGTGACATAAGGAATACACGTAGAAGAATTATACGTACATACATACATGCATGCATGCATACATACATACATACATACATACATACATACATACATACATACATGCATACATACATACATACATACATACATACATACATACATACATACATACATACATACATACATACATACATACATACATACATACATACATACATACATACATACATACATACATACATACATACATACATACATACATGCAAACATACATGCTTGTGCCTTTCCTACAACACTGATAATATCGGGTTCAGGTCAGAACAATTCTTGGAAACGGGTTTTTCAATGGTCAATCGGAGTATTTATCGCTTGTTCCGGCAATTTCAGAAAGAAGTCTCCCATGTAATTCGTCCATTAACACCTTTTTTCCGAACTACTTTCGTTGACATGGAAAATATTTCGGCGTATGGAGACAAAGTTAAGATTGGAACTTTCTCGACCGTTGTCCTCGCCCTATATGTAGGGCATACATACATACATATTTATGTACGAAAATACCTACCTACCTACCTACCTATCTACCTAACTACATTGATACATACATACATACATACATACATACATACATACATACATACATACATACATACATACATACATACATACATACATACATACATACATACATACAATATAGTATACTACATTGCAAGGGAGGTAACTCAAATAATTACAACGGTTGAATATTCTCAGTTATATTGAGTTGCCTATCGTGAATCTACGCACATCGTCACCTGAGAGTCATTGCTATCAAGCAGCCTGTCGGAGACTTGAATTTATATTCGGCAAAAGGGTAAAACAAGTCATCACAAATCGTGAGAAAAGGATGGATCTGGGACAAGCCACCAGGCCTGATTCCTTCATAAAAAGCCACAGAACTTAATCTCGTTGTGAAAAGATAAAAAAATTAGCATCAATTTGTTCGTAGTTTAGAAGCAGACTGTGCTAAAAGTAACATTATGTGCATTTTCAGGTCTTTTCATATATTATGTTAATGCTAACACGTAGATAAACTATTCAAATACAAAATAAAACTTTACCGTCAATAATTGCTCTTTCGATTCTTATTTTGAATTTATTAACTAATACACATATTTTCACAATAAACTTAACAAGGGAATTATAGCATTCTTATCCCGTGTTTTAGACTAGGGCTACACTCAACAAACGTGCATTGAACTAAAGGACATTTACCTCTAAACGCCATCAAAAAATCATCCTACACACTACCTACCAACCTACCTTTCTACTTACCTACCTAAACACGTATCTAATTACATACATATACATGCATGCAAGCATACATACATACATACATACATACATACATACATACATACAAACATACATACATACATACATACATACATACATACATACATACATACATACATACATACATACATACATACATACATACATACATACATACATACATACATACATACATACACGTGTTTGCTTTGTCAAAAACACTGATAACATCGAGAATATGTCAGAAAAATTCTTAGAAACGGGATTTTTCAACGGTTATTTGGAATATCTATCGCTTGTTCCGTCTAGTTCAGAAAGATGTCTCATTAGTAATTCGTCCCCATTAACACCTATTTTCTGTAATACCTTCGTTGACATTGAATAATATTTCGGCGTATGGAGACAAAGTCAAGATCGGAACTTTTAGGCCGTTGTCCTCGTCCTATATGTGGTACATACATACATACATACATACATACATACATACATACATACATACATACATACATACATACATACATACATACATACATACATACATACATACATACATACATACATACATACATACATACATACATACATACATACATACATACATACATACATACATACATACATAAGATATTACAAATAGAAGCTTTGAAGCTGGACATCAAAGAAAGGAATTGTCTTACTTTGGTTAAAGGAAAAGCTTTATATTCTAGGTTGTTTCTGTTGCGCCTTATTTTAATATACTTTTTGTAATACAAAAAAGACCTAAAGAAAACCCCGAACGGCAAACACTGATTATAACAGTTTTGGAACACTGCGAATATCTCTACATTATAGCTGTGTATGTGTGTGTGTGTGTGTGTGTGTGTGTGTGTGTGTGTGTGATTTAGATTCGTAACCTAGCTTTACAAAAAATTTTCTGTCATATTGCTACTATGTCTGCAGTGTGACATTTTATAGTGATGTCTAGTACTGGGACACCATGCCGCAGACATGTAGCATGTTGCCCCACTCAGTCACATTATCCTGCCACCGGGCCGACCAGTCCTGACACTAACCTCCTAATGCTGATCACCAAGCTAGGCAGCTTTTAGTATCATTTGTTAAATTATTTGGTATGAATCGGCGGGGGATCGAACCCAATACCTCCCGCATTCGAGACGGAAGCTCTAACCACAAGGCTACCGGTGCGGTACATTATAGCTGGAGATATTACTTTACCATACCAAACAAAGTCATATATATCGTATATGAGAAACTTTGATTAAAGCTGAACAGAAGAAAGTGATTCCAAAACAAGCGATTATATAAAAGTGTAGAGAACAAATGTCATACAGTTATCTAATTTATTAAATAATACAAATCAAAGTCCAAAATTAATAAAACTTGAAACTCATATCCTATACATACCAAAACTGTCCAGGGAGATTACTCACATTCATTACACGAGCTAACTATTTTACGTTTCAATCAGTCATAATGATAATCAATACGCGCTGCAGCATGTCTGGGTCGTACCTTGACCTGAACAATATAAATAGCATCGACTGATGAATATCTTGCAGAACAATCCAATCAAAGTAGAAAGGTCAATGGTAGGCCATCAACCGCATAAAACAAACTTCGTCGCTAAGAGATATTTTGTTTCTTTATTGTGTGCTCTAGATGAAGATTACAGAATGAAGCGAAAACAAAGTTCATTCTAAAATATGTGGTTACTGTACTGACTCTCCCTACAACCATAAGTATCGTGTGTATGTACAAAATCTTTATCTAACTATTAATAATTTTTTAAGACTCTTTCTGGAACCACAACTATCGTATGTATGTACAAAATCTTTATTTAACTGTTAATGAGTTGGTTTTTTTTCTTTGGCGTGTATGAATGGATTCATTACATTTGTAACAAATTTCAGCAAATAATCCTTTCAACAGTTTATCTTTTATGGACAGAAATTACAGCAGATGGATAAAGCAATAAAATTGAAAAATTATATAATTACACCCTTCTTATTGTTTCAAATTAGCATATTATTTTTGAAAATTAGGATGTAATTTCAACAGCAATTTTTAATGTTTATGGTTTTAATTTCTCTACTCAAGCATGTGTGAAAGTCAACGTAGACCCTGCGACGCAATTACATTGGTCGCTTTCTGCTATATGGAAAGACATAGAGTAGACAAACTTTGAATTGGATTTAATTAAAACATAATGAATCAAATTCAGAATTTACAACATTCCAATAAAGTCATATTGATCTCAGATATACGCTCCTTTGTTTCCTTTCAAATTACTTTTAAGTCAAATTTTTGGGTGGGTAGGAAATTTGACTGAAGATTAGAAATGTGTATAAACTGATAAACATATTCCGAAAATGGATAAACATGTAAAATGTGCACACACATGCGCGCGTAAATGCATCTACATAAGTATTGTTCAATAAACAATCTTTATATTAAAAATATAATATTAATTCTATATCTTCACATCAAGTTAAAACTATCCCCATCTACTAGGGATCATGCTTGTATTACTAAGAGATACACCTAAAATATTGTTACAAAATCATCTTTATCTACCCTAATTATAAGTTTACTTTCATATGAGCATTATCGTTTTAATACAGTACATAAATGAGAAAATAAAGATTACTTATTATGCTACAGGTGTATGTACCAGAACAGCAGAACGAATATACTTAAACCTTGAAAGGTCAAGACACTATTCATATAGCCAGAAATAAAGGGGAAAAAAGAAGACATGCCATATAGTCTATATAGCTAAAGCTCATGTACTTTCTTGGAAACTAATTAAATAGTCTCTCACTTGGAAACCCAAGTAGAGCAGAACTTAGGTGAATCAAAACTTTAAAGAATTTATTTATTTACATTAGAATTATTTAGCGACAATTACGTGGGTTAGTTCTACGCGGGAAAGTCAATGAAAGACGGCCAAATTATTAAACAAAATCTATACGTACACACACACACACACACACATACACACACACATATATATATATATATATATATATATATATATATATATATATATATATATATATATATATATATATATATATATATATATATATATATATATATATATATATATATATATATATATATATATATATATATATACAGAGTAAAAATGACGTTTTAGCAGGTTATATGTGGGTGAAATGAAAATAGCTGTTTGGCGACCCTGTTCATGCCCAAGCTCAAACCCCTATTATTGATTTGGGTTACACGATGTTAGTGAGAATAAGCTCCCAAAGCTGATCCTTACCGATACAACAAGTGTTGTGTTCCATGATGAGATCTTTAATGTAGGTAATGTGCAACATTCACTGGTTGCAAAGTTCATTTTGCTATTGTGCCGTGAGCAACACTATCACGCCCACGTTCTATGACTTTTGTGAGAGTCAAATTAACAGCGATATCGATGTTGCCAAGGTAAGCGTTAACAAAGGCCACCTCGAGATCTTTGCGGCTTTCGATAATGATATGGGTCGTCTACATTTTCTCTCTGTTCTTTGGATTATGATTATTTTAACAAATTATTAAAGTAGGTGCTGCTCATACTAAGCACAAATGCATCTGAATGAGGTTGGAGTTTAACCTGATTTTTAGGATGAAGTGATAAGATATTTCCCTCTACTCTTCAGTGTGTAATATGTGTCTTAATACGACGCCTATGGCTTAATACACTATGAGTTCTAAGGAGATATGAAAGTTATTTCTGAAGACGGTGGTGATGGCTTCGACGAGCGTCTCCAGATTTTCTAATATGATGTCGGTGATGTAATATTCGCTACAGATGATTCCAAGATATGTGTGGTTGCGGGTAGCCATAAAACCGTAGAATCTTCACTCACGGTGATTGAAAACGTTATGATGCCTTCGATTTTGCTGAGTTTAACAGCCAATCCCGCCTCGAGATGACGCCACGACAATGCTTCCGTCAAAATTAAGTCAGTCTTAGCAGAGTAGGTCGTTGGCAGTTCGTACAAAAACCTTTCACTCATGTCAATTTTATCGATCATCGTTCCCCTGATCAGCAATAGTTTATTATTAACCAGCGTTCCCACGTGAAACTATCTGGTCGCGGATTCAGTTGCTGGTTGACGTTGGTGAAGATAATTACCGGATAATTAGCTGATCACATTACCTCCTATATTTAAACCACCCGTCTTAATAACTCTGACGCGATTAACTTTTTGCTGCATCGTCGACTCATCCGACGTCGAGAACGCTACTCCGAGACCGATTAAAATTCCGAATGTTTCGTGCGACAATATTTGCAAGAAATGAACGTTTAATTATGCCTCTCGAGAACATAAAAAACACCAACACCATTTTCTGCCGCCGGATGGCCATTACCTGATTGTGGATTCTACAGGCTGCGTCAAAACGAATTTGTTGATATATGTGTTAATTAATATCATACTGAATTACAGTCTGGTGATAATTTACACTCTCAGTCCCTAGCTGGATAAATACCAAATGTTATCCGAATTTAACGAGTCATTATCGCTAAATACTGACCACAGGGATCATAGTGGCCACAGTGACCAGGGGGTCAGAGCCACATATTTACGACTACTTTTAAGAACTTGCAGGGGACAACGAACATAAAAATGCCGTCTCTGTCGACATTAAAATCGACCTGGAGAACATGGCCAAAATATGCGAGTACTTCTCGTTTTGGCGCCATAGACATTTCAACAGCATTGACTTAACGCAGTCTTATTACAATGTACTTAGATATTTTAGAAGAAACATGAGTATTTCGTGTTTTTTTCCGGTCTGCATAATCGGAATATTCATTCAAGCGTGCGACATCCGGCTCTAAACATGATTTCATGATGTTTCATCTGAAACTATACCAGAAAAATATCAAAAGGGTTTTAACGAATATAGTGTTCTTCCTCCTCCGTAAAATCTTTATATATAGCATTTTAGTATAAAATCATTTATTTCGAGAAAATAAGATCCAAGTGAGGACGTGTTGACAAAATGTGTGGAGCTGCGTCCTCCACTACGTCAGGAAGTGCTAGAAGATAAGTGAGTAAACAAGAATACAGCGAGATGTCGCACAGAAACTCTTCAAACCTGTATAAGCCGCACTGGACGAAACAAAGAAAAAAATCCTTGACATGATATCTACGATTCAACACCCCTTTCAACAGGCGCTAGAAATAATAGCCAAACGAGTAGTGCTGAAAACGAAATGAAAGATTTATTCGTACCAGAGTAATGTAAGATGCAAAATATGAACAGCAAATTTTGTGCACGTCCAATCGAAAGGGAAAATTAAATTTTTCTTTCTCTTGGTTTTCACCCATGGGTACTGGCAGATCGAAAACGACAAGAATAGATAGTGGAGATACGGTTGCAGGTGCTGAAATCCGCGACGAATCCTTGATTCGCTCTTATCAACGTCAGGCCACAATCGTACAACGGTTAAAACTCGTCATCAATCTTAAACAAGCTAGCAATACAAGGGTGGAAAACGATAACGAGGTGGTAAGATTTATGAATCATTTATTAACACCAAAATTAGTCACGCGGTAGCAGTACCGATTATTACACCAGGATCTCATTGGTTTCTCATCGACGCTATTATCATAATTCGTGTCGCTCGACGATATCACGTTAATATTTCAATCTCTCTTTGGCGTACAATCCGCTGTCACGGCTAGATCAGGAATCGTCTTACAAAATGTTTTGCTATGATTTTTGCACATATTTGGAATTCGTTTCCTAATATCACAGAGAAAAATAATTTGTTTTATTGGATACCACACCATAGCGGCATCTCCTAGAAGTTATAACAGCCTCGATATTACCGCGGCACTTTCTAGGTTGATGATCGTTAAGGGCTATAATGCGTACAATATTAATATTGAACCTAATTATTCCATGTTCCGTACCAGTATCATTATAACCGGAAATTAAATGATCAATTTTAATATATCGCGCACGATCGTATCGGTGTTGTTTTGTGTCTGAGGATATTATAGACAACGGCTTGTACTAAGGAGATCGCTGTGTTCGGTGGGTTCCTCGTCTAACATGATTTATTATTGATGATTAACCAGCCTCCCGAGTTGTTGATGCAGTCCCAGACTAATCGGTTTATTTATTATCCGGTCACGAACACGAACGAATTTCTGAAATCACAG